CATCCCTTCCCTTCCCATCCCATCCCACCCCTTCCCAAGCTGCTCCCAAGGACTGCAACTCCCTTCACTCCCTCTCCTGTTTTAGCCTTTAAGATCTTTGAAGCAAAAGCCACCTCTCCTTTGGTGCAGCACAGAGGGACCCTCCTCTTGCTGCTCCCCAGTAACATCAAGCGACTGGACCAGGATCTACCACAGCAGACATGGGTTTCTCCAGCACAGGCATCACCACCTGAGCTGGTCCCCTTGGAGCTAGGTTGTCCTAGGACATCTAGTGCTGTGGGATGCAGAGAAGCGGGTGATCCCACAGCAGCAAGACAGTAAGACATGAAAGAGCTGGAAAGTCCTGATATCAGAGAGGAAGAAATGTCCAAGTAGAAGGTTAACAGCAACGTTCATGAGATAATGGTGTGACATTGAAGTGCTCAAGGCCAGGTTGGACGGGGCTTGGAGCAACCTAGGCTGGTGGGAGGTGTTCCTGCCCATGGCAGGGGGGTTGGAACTAGATTATCTTTAAGATCCCTTCCAACCTAAACCATTCTATGATTCTATGAAATGGCTGAACCTTGGCAGATAGTTAAGAAAAAGGGAGTAGACGTTTAACGGGCTGAGGGGGGGGATTACCGAGGCAACCACATAAAGACCAAAAAAGGGGGATGAGCAAAACTAGGGTCAGTGGTGAAGAGTTAGCAAGGATGGGTTGTTTATTTCACCGTGATGAGAGTGGTGAAACCCTGGCCCAGGTTGCCCAGAGAGGTGGTGGCTGCCCCATCCCTGGAAACATTCCACGTCTGGTTGGATGGGGCTCTGAGCAACCTGATCTGGTTCGAGATGTCCCTGCTCATGGCCGGGGGTTGGACTAGATGATCTTTGAAGGTCCCTTCCCACCCAAACCACTCTGTGATTCTGTGATTCTATGACTTGGAGGGTCTAAGGGTGGTAAAGGAGGAGAAGACAGGAGGAGGAAAATGGAGTAAAGGGGATGTACGGTAAAGTGAGTGGAGTGATCGACGATGACTGAGGGTGGCTGGTGGGCAGCTCCCTGCTCGATCACTAGAGTATGAAACAGGACAAACCCTCCACCATCTGCCGTGCTCAGTCTGGCTCACTTTCATGGTCAGGAGGGACTGGGCAGCATTTTCCCAGGCATCGGTGAGGGAACCTTAGGAGCTTTCTTCCTATCATGGATAGGGGAGCATTTGGAAGGTCTCAACTGCGCAGAGTCCAAGGTGATGGAGATGCCTAAACACTGCAGACACCTAAACAGCAGTGTCTGATGGATCTGATGCCCCCTGAGACATCCCCACAGGACATCCCCATGCCAGAGGGACCATTTCCACCACCACCCAAAGCACTGAGGACACCCTCCTCCTCACGACAGCTTCACGCGCCAGCGAGGGAGCTGCTTACGAGAGGTTTTCAGCTTACCCTGTATCACGGAGATGTTCTTCAACGCGACGGAGTGCTCCCAGTCCTTCAGCCGCAGGTCCTCCGTCACGTTGTTGAGGATGGCCAACTCATGCTTCAGCTGCTCTTCCATGGCTATGTGGATGAGACGCATCTGCCGGGCATCTTCGGTGGCATTGCTGATCAGCACCTGCAGGTCCTGGATGCGGGTATGGTGGATGTTCACGTCGTAGGAGAAGGTCCGGTTCATGGTGTCCACGGCCCCGCTCACGGCCGTCACCTGGTCGCTCAGGCTCTCCACCCTGTTGCCCAGGTGGCTCAGGAGGTGGTCGTGGTGCTGCAGCAGCAGCCGGCTGCTGTTGCCTTCCACAGAGAGCTTGTACATCTCCTGCTGAGCCGCGTCGCTCTGCTGGGTCAAGCTGTCCCAGAGGTTGGACACTGCCTTGTCAGTTTGGCTGGCCTGGGTTTGCAGGCTCCAGAGAAGCCCTTCCAGCTTCTGCAGTGACCCCGTCATGAGGAACAAGGAGTCCGAGTGGTTCTGCAGGAGGTCCTGGAGCCTCCAGATGTGATCCAGCACATCCCCCTTCAGAGGTAGGTGCAGCAGCTTCAGCTGCATGTCCCGAAAGCTCTCGTTGAGGCGGTTGACGTTCCCCATCAGTGCCTTCAGGTCCTCAGGAGATGTCTGTGGCCTGGAAACTGTAAGGGACAGAGAGGAGGGGGCTTTAGAAACCACCCCATGGAGGTGGGAGACCTCCTGAGGGGTTCAACTCCGTCTCCTCCCAAGGAGAGCTTGGACATCCCCCCTGTTCCTTGGTGCTTGGAGGTGAAAGCCCTACCTCAAACCCCAAAAGGTTCATCCCAGCAGCCCCTTTTTGGCCCCACAGTTTTCTCCACGGTTGGAGAAGGAGGTTGGTTGCTGAAGGGCTGGAGAAGGAGGTACCTGGCTCAGGAAGGACAGCAAAAGCTCCCAGCAGCTCTGGGCTTCGGGGTGGCTCTGGACTGTGCCAGATGGGTCACGATGCTACAAAGCTCTGCCTTGTGTTTGCCTTTGGTTGGAGGACTGGCTGCTAACAGCATCCGCTTCCCTTTCCTAAAAAACGACCTTTAAAACTGCTTCTTCCCCCACTGAGGTTTTAATTTTCACTTTAACAGTCAGGTTTCCCTTCTGGCCGCTGCTCCTGGGCCTGAGCTCAGCCCTTTGCTCTATAATGAAGACCATCAGGTTGGGTCGGCAGGTCTCCACGGCTCTGGGTGCGGTTTGCTGTCAGCCTCCAAGCACCACATCCCGCATCCCGGGGCTGCCAGGGCTCTTCCCGAGGGAGAGAAGGAAGGAGGAAACCCACCCTGGTTCCAGAGCATCTGCATCCCGCATCCCACATCTGCCAGGGCTCTTCCCGAGGGAGGAAACCCACACTGGCTTGGGACCATCATCTGCCAGATGGGTCACGATGCTACAAAGCTCTGCCTTGTGTTTGCCTTTGGTTGGAGGACTGGCTGCTAACAGCATCCGCTTCCCTTTCCTAAAAAACGACCTTTAAAACTGCTTCTTCCCCCACTGAGGTTTTAATTTTCACTTTAACAGTCAGGTTTCCCTTCTGGCCGCTGCTCCTGGGCCTGAGCTCAGCCCTTTGCTCTATAATGAAGACCATCAGGTTGGGTCGGCAGGTCTCCACGGCTCTGGGTGCGGTTTGCTGTCAGCCTCCAAGCACCACATCCCGCATCCCGGGGCTGCCAGGGCTCTTCCCGAGGGAGAGAAGGAAGGAGGAAACCCACCCTGGTTCCAGAGCATCTGCATCCCGCATCCCACATCTGCCAGGGCTCTTCCCGAGGGAGGAAACCCACCCCGGCTCAGGAGGATCTGCATCCTGCATCTCGGGGCTGCCAGGGGTCTTCCCAAGGGAAAAAACCCACCCCAGGATGCTCAGGAGTATCCTTCACCCCCTGCCTCTGCACCCCTGGTGAGAGAGAGCTCCTGGCCATCCACGCACCCACCCCAACCCTCTCCTGCGGTCTCATACCAGAGCACCGAGATGGGATTCAGAGAGGGAACCTGGAAATTTGGGGGGTACCTCTTGCTCTCGGCAGCTCCTAGCACTGCTCCAGCAACCCCTTGCCCAGCAAGCCCAGTAGCATCCAGTAAAGCCCCATCCCGGACCCCATCACACCACTGCATGCCCGAAAAAGCTGATCCAGACCGGCGATAACACCTTTTCCCTCCCCATCGCTGGGTCTCCAAGGCAGCCCAGGGTGGGGGGACTCAAAGCCAAACCCACACGAATAATGAGATTTAAAAAAAAAAAATAAAAAAAAAAATTAAAAGAAATAAAAAATAAATAATCTCTATTGTTCTTTAAGCTGCGGTGGGGCTTTGGCTGGCGCGACGCCGGCCGCCGGCTGG